GCGCTCTTCCTGATTTCCTATTCCACAAGAGAACTTCCTTATACTCTTTCCATATTGGGGTCTAGAAATCAAAACAAATCTCTATCTCCTGTTACTAGAGTGATTTCTTAAAACACCAACAATTTAAAAAAAAACCCTCTTAAGTTATTAAGTTCTTATTTGCCAATATATAAATGGGTTGGTTGAGTTGTTAAAGATTAAGCTCTTAATGCTTTTAAGCTGTCAAACAGGAAAAAGCTGGATAATTAAACCACAATGGAGAGCAAAAGCCTGAAATAAGCAGGAACAGTTGGCGGAAGGGAACACAGGAAGACCATTTCACGGTAGCGTAATTAGTAAACAATATAAACAAAAAGCAGTACAAGGTCTCAATCTGTTCAATGCTACAGATGATCTTCCAAGTGAAAGTGTAATGAATCCCAAGGACTACAGCACATGATGAAAGCTGCTACTTTATACTTTACATTCTTCCCTTTGGACATCACTCATACAGAAGGAGCATTTATTATAAATCCTCTATTTTCCAAATCCCAAGGAACTGCAGTGACGGGCAGTTACTAGGAGAGGGGAGAAGACTAAGCTGTAGAGCCTAGAGGATAACCTGGGAGGCTGTGGGCAGACCCACTCACTTTGTGAGCAATAAAGTAACAGGAGAGCAACCTCCAGAAAAGGGAAAAAAAGGGACAAAAGAAGAATTCATATGAATATCAAGTCTCATATTTAGTCACTTGACTACTAGTTTAACAGATAGTGAACAGAAACGATAATCCCTACACCCATATATTCATAACCACCCAAATGCATGAATTCAGGTAAGACCTCATGTATTCCCATCCTCCACCCCACCCCTATTCTCACTTCACTAACTTGGTGAGGATCGCCCCTCCTTTGTATGTGATTGAATTTTGAAGTCACCACTCATAACATTATGTTGAGGTTTCACAGCCTCCCCTTCACCCCAGGAACAAACAGCCGATCATTATAATAGTTTCAGCTCTCCTGGAATCTTCAGGTCTCACAGAGAAAGCGGTTTCAACATCAAAGCAGGTAACTAGGTCATAAAGCACAGAATTTTAAAATGTAAAAGAACAAAAATGCATGCAAGGTCAGTGGTTCTGGAGAAAGTTAATGTGAGACAAAGGAGTATCTTGCCATTAATCTTCCTTGTTCAAGCATCATGCCATTCCATGGGTTCAGCCACATTCCTGCCACCCTTGCCTCTGTCCCCAGAAAGAAGTAATTCCTCCTTTCCACACTGGAGTCAGCACATAGAGGACGTATCTTCCTATGGCATATCATAACTGAAACATGTTTTGCATTTTTTGAGTAATAAAAATGCAATGATATGGTTTGGCTGTGTCCCCACCCAAATCTCATCTTGAATTGTGGCTCCCATCATTCTCATGTGTTGTGGGAGGGACCTGGTGAAAAATAACTGAATCATGGGGGCGGTTTCCCCCATACTGTTTTCATGGTAGTGACTAAGTCTCATGAGATCTGATGGTTTTATTAGGGGAAAACTCTTTTGCTTGGCTCTTATTCTCTCTTGCCTGCTGCCATGTAAGTTGTACCTTTCACCTTCCGCCCTGACTGTGAGGCCTCTCCAGCCACGTGGAACTGTGAGTCCATTAAACCTTTGTTTCTTTATAAATTACCCAGTGTCGGGAATATCTTTATCAGCATTATGAAAACAGACTAATGCATGCAACCACTTTACTTTAATATTTCTAACACAAGCATTACTCGTCCACGTAAAGGGACTTCTGCAGAGGGGGAAAGGTCACATTTTACCGTTAGCCAGACGTTCCTGCCATCTTGTTTTCTCCATTCATAAGATTCTATCTCCACAACTCGCAAAATCATGGCTACCCAGTCCAGAAACAAAGACAGTAAGACCAAAGACATTCACATTATGGTAAAAACCAAAGCCTCGTTTTCCAATAAATGTAAAGCAATGTTTTCTAGGATTGTTCCCCACAAACCATGGCTTCTCTCTGACGTGATTACCCTGTCATCCAAGTTCAGACAGAGCTGCTTCCCAGGTGCAGGGCCAATGACAGGGTACTGGAATCACCTGGGTGATTCATTATTGATATTTTACTTAATTTTTTTGAGGCAGAATCTCGCTCTGTTGCCTAGGCTGGAGTGCAGTGCCACAATCTTGTCTCACTGCAACCTCTGCCTCCCAGGTTCAAGTGATTCTCCTGTCTCAGCCTCCCAAGTAGCTGGGATTACAGACATACACCACCATGTCTGGCTATTTTTTGTATTTTTAGTAGAGACGTGGTTTTGCCATGTTGGCCAGGCTGGTCTTGAACTGATCTCAAGTGATCTGCCCGCCTTGGCCTCCCAAAGTGCCAGGATTACAGGTGTAAGCCACTGGGCCCAGTTTATTATTGTTATTTTAAAAATACAGATTCTCTATAGAGTCTTTGAATCCCTAAATGTGAGATGGGGTGGGACAGTCTGGATGCATGTCAAGTTTGGAAACTACTAGTTAGGGTTTTGTTTTTGTTTTTGTTTTTTTTTTACAGAGGGAAAAGGAGCCAATGCAACAGCTAGTCTTTACTGGAAAGATGAAACTTTACAGCACATTTTGAGTACCTTGGTGCAGGCGCTCAACGCACCAGCTTGTAATGGGTTTCACAGCTGGGGCATTGCTGGGTCTTGCCTTTGTACAGCCAAAACCAGATGACAGCACTGTTGTCCTCCTCACAGATGCACCCGCTATTTTCTTGTTGGTGAAGAAGGGGGCTAAATTAGGGTCCTCCTTGGTGCCTAAAGCTGTCTTGGGGGGTAGTACATTGTGTGGGTCCAGTCCCTTCCTTGTGGTCATCATGACCTCCATCTCTAAGCCAGTCATCTACTTGTTATCAGTAGAAACACCACCTCCAGGATGGGTGTGATGGGTGTGGTGGCTCACGCCTGTAATCCCAGCACTTTGGGAGGCCGAGGTGGGTGGATCATGAGGTCAGGAGATTGAGACCATCCTGGCTAACACGGTGAAACCCTGTCTCTACTAAAAATACAAAAAATTAGCCA